GACTTCTAGGGCGAGTCTGTCGGAATACCTCAGAGTCCCTTGTACCTTCATGTTCCTCTACGACATGTCGTTCCTTTCCTAGATTGGCAGCTGGCTTGGGTCGTGGAAGGGGACCGAGTCTTTCAGAAACCCTTGGGTCATTGATCTTCGAGCATATGTGGAGGGGATTCTCATGACGTTGCTCTAGGAGGTCTCGGTAGTCACGATAAATGGCTTTCGATCCTTCCAACCCTTCTGCAAGGAGGTGTCTTCCTCCACTTCTCTTGCTTCAGGTCGAAGCAGCTGGGTTGAGAGAAGTCTCATGTTGATTAATGTTTTAATGATTAGCTCGCTCCTCATCAGGGATACCCATGTCGAAGGAATATGACCTTCCGTGTTAAGGGGCACCCAGATGATGGTTGATGTCCACAGGGGCAACAAGCTCGCGTGTTTGAGTACGCATAGTTTTGTAGAGCGTCTCAAAGAGCTTCTCATACTGCTCCTAGAGGACCTCATTCTTCATTGCTATATTGTTGTTTTGAGCTTTTAGCTCATCGATTTTAGCTTGAAGAGCAACCCTCTTTCCTTCCTTCTTTCGTTGCTTCGCACTAGGTGCAAGAGGGGTGTCATTCTGTGTGTTGTGGCTTCCTTCGCTCCCCATGTTGGAGAGGGATGCCTGGTCAAAAGAGAGTGTACGAATGGTGAAACCAGCTTGACAAAGCTGAAGAGAGTGGGAATAAGTGTCGTTCCCACAGACGGCGCCAAATGTTGATGCACAAAATCAATGAGGACTTTGGTACAACAGAAAGTGTTAAGTTTGTGACCTTCGCTAGATTGCTCCGGTCACTAGTATGGATCAGTATGTAAATGGATAAAGATAGGGAAGCAAACACAAGATGTACATGGTTCACCCAGATTGGCTACGTCCACGGAGTAGAGGAGTTCTCATTAATTGTGAAGGGTTTACACAAGTACATAGGTTCAAGCTCTCCTTTAGTGAGTACAAGTGAATGATTTAGTACAAATGACATTAGGAAATATTGTGAGAGAATGATCTCTATTTATAAAAGAGAGTTTCTAGTTTCATTCTGACATTGACACGTGTCGTGTTGTGATTGGCTTCTGATGTTGACATGCGTTGCGCTATGATTGGCTTCTAATATCGACACGTGTCGCGTTGTGATTGGCATCGTGGTTGGAAGGAAACTCTTCTGGGTCTTTGACGGTATAACGTTGACTGGTGCTCAGTAGTTTCGGGATTGGTCAAGTATGGTACAAACAAAATTATTCTTACCTGAATTGTTTACTCTGTTATATATTGGCATGGCATACATATGAATATGATTATATGAAGCATGAATTGAGTTGATATTTTACATATATATTTATGTATATGCTTATACCTTAATTCTGGGAAAAATTATACATGTTTTACAGCGAGGGGTTAGATATGTGGATAAATGAAATGGTTTTGTAAAACATTTGTTTTTGCCCACTCACGTTTTCTGTTTTGCACCCCTCCAGGTTTTAGGTAAGCTTGCTGTTGGTGGCCTTGAGGATTTCGGCGGTTCTGACCTATCTAAATAATTGTAGGACATCTTACGGTACTATATAATTAGTACTTGTCCTACTGGACTGCACCTAGACTTTCTATGCTCTGATTATGAGTATTTACTTATGTATCTTACTCCTAACACTTCTTGTTTAGTAGTGCACTCTAGTAGATTCGGTTTTAATTATTCGTATATTTCTTATCTTTATTGCTTCCACATTGTGCACATGGCTACGTCACCCTCACATGACGACCAACATGCCTTGATCTCGATCGGGGTGTGTCAGAAACCAACCAACGTGGGAGAATCCTACTTATCCTATGATTCTTCTCTCGTTGAATTTCTTTTATTTAATTAATTTCAACTCCCGTTGGATCAAAATTTCCACCCACTACCAAGCAGTAACTCCTCATATTCAGTTACTTGCAGTTTACAAATTTCACTTCAATGCCTTTCATATGCTCAGCCAAGGAAAATTTTTCTAAGCAGCAAATGAAAAAGATGTTCAAAATGGTGTCATTAGTTCCAAATTCAGAGAGAACCATGAACAACCATAGAAACAAAAACTACCCAGAACCCACGTACCAGAAGATAAATGCAAAAATGATATTGCGTTCAACAGTGGTGAGTGTGTTAGAAATATTAGTTGTGTTTTATTGAATTTTTTTTAAAAAAAAGGTCATATAATACTCCACTCCTCTTCTATTTTTGGAGAAAATATTAATCTAACAAAATTATATTTAAAAAAATATCTAAGAAATTTAAAAATGAGATAAAAAGAATTAATATCTCACAAAATTATATATTTATATATAGATATATACGAAACCAACGTGGGAAAAAGAAAGGGGTAGAGGTTGCCGTGAGTTTTCAAAAAGGAGTGTAATTTGCCCACTACAAACACTAACTTCCCAGTTCGTAAAATTTCATTTTTTCCGTTTCTACTCATTTTCCCATTTCCAAATTCAAATGTTATAATTTTCCCCTTAGTTATGTAACTGCTATCAAGAGTTGTTGCTTGGTATTACAGACTCTCACACTCCAACGTGGGATAAAACGGGTTTAAGCAACTTCCGAGTCATCATTCTTCTTTTTTTTCAAAGTTTTTTCTTTTTTGCTTTGCCATTCTTCTCCCTCTCCCTCTCCCTCTCCCCAAGCGTAAAAAGGAAATTAATCTGGGTGTAAGCTTCTTTCTTTTCACTTCCACGGGTTTTCGCCTTTGAAACGTATGTGTTATAGCTTTTGTGGTTAAAATCTTGGTGCTTTTTATTTCAATTTTCTTATTCTTTCTCTCTCCTTTTTGTTATAGGGTCAAGACGATTCTATTAGGCTCCAAAGTTCAAAGGGTTGAGTAACTTTGGGTAATTCTCAATCTAAATTTACCCTATCAGTTTTTAGGTTTTTTTTTACGGTTTATCTTTTAGGTGATGAATTTGATGCGGTCTACTGCAGCTTTCAGGATGTATATATGAGTTTGTATTTAGTATTTCTAAGTCAATTTTAGTTTTTTAAACTTCTTCCTTTGAAATTTTCATTGTGCGATTTTTTAATTTTGGTCAGATTATGAGTTTCAATTTTGATTATCTTGATGTCCTATATGTGTGCTATGGAAATTAAAAAAATTATTTGTTTTCATTCTCATGATATTTACAAGAATACCCACAAAAAAATGGAGAAGGAACTACCTATTGATAAGATCCTAAACTAACGTGTCTCTATTTTTACACCTAGTTGGGAGATATCTGTTGGAGTAAAAACTACTGATATAAGCCAACTGATTCTCAAAGAGTGGAAAAAAAAGAAGCATGAGCAGTATGTATTCTAAATTTGTTATTAAATTTGTTATAAGGAATTCTAACATTATATGTACCTTCAATATATAGGTGGCGCATGAAAAAGGTTGTAGAAGAATTAAAACCTTCAACAACTCTTCGCATCATACGAATTTGGAATAAAGTCCAACAAATTAGGTACAACACCATTTCTTACCTATTTATTTTTAATGGCATTGTCTATATCTTTCTACAAATTAATTATCTCAAATTATAAAATTAAAAACAGTCTACAAATTAATTATCTTGAATTATAAAAAAAACAATTTATGGGTGTAGGAAAAAGATTAATAGTGACCAAACAACTTTTCTAAATACGGTAAGATTTTCATACGAAAGTATACTGTAAATTCAAATTGCATTCAATTTTCAAACAGAAATAAAATTTCATTTTTTTGTCAGAGTTACAAGCATCACACCTGTCTCAAAGTACAAAGGTTGAAGTACAAGATTAAGGTAACATTTCTTACTGTTTAATTTTGTAAACATGATTACAATTTGTTACCTCAAACTTGACAAATTATTTATCTTTCAGTATTCTAAAAGTAACTGGAGTAAAAGTATTGCCATCAGAAAATTGTCAAAGTTAAAGGTATTTAGGTTAAATTGCTTACAACCTTTATATTTGGAATTGTGCATTATAGTTAGACTTCTTATTTTATCATCATTGCTTGCAGATTAACCATGAAAATCTAAAGCATCAAGTGCAAACAAATGGGTGGCAAACATGACTTTGATTTTACACGTATCTGCTGCCAATGTATTTCTGTTTGGAAGTAATCCGTCTATATTTTCAAGCAGGGAAGAACCATTGGTGCTGCTGTGAACGTACACAACTAAATCTCATGGCCTGCACAGCCGGCACTTGCAGAGAACCATTTGCACAATTATTGCCTTATTTGTTGTTCATTACTGTGATAGAACTCATTTTATTCCTGTTCTTTGTAATTCATATCATTTGATGTCTTAGAGACAATGTGTTTGTGGACAGACGTAATCCAAATTTATTCATTAAAACCCAATTTAACTTCAAAATTGTAGTTTTCCTTCATTGAATTTTCTGTGTGAATGTTGGTAACGCAAGTTACGCAACAGATAAAAGGAATATGCAGAAATCAGGTTGTTCAAAATTTAAATTAATGTTGCTTTTTGCTTTAATAGTTTTAGTAAGCCTTTTAATACTTTTTGTTTACATTTAAAGTTTATAATTAGATACTCAATTTGATTTCTTATTTGCATGGGAAGAAGGATCAATTTCATTGGCAGTGTTCCAATTAATCCAACCAGTTCTCTTCAGTTTTGCTTCTTCATTGTTATTACAAATAGATGGTGATGAATTTTAGGGTGAAAATCTTTTTCCTAAAATCGAAATTTTTATTGGGTTAGTAATTCATGTTTTCAATTTTCATTCTCTCTCCATTTTCAGTTTTAATCACATATTTGCATTCAATTAATTTTTAAATAATTTTTATGGAATTCTTTGGAGATGATTGAAAATAATAAGAAATTATTGTTATGGACACACATCCACAATTTATAAAATAATCACTTAAGAAAATATGAGAATATTTTTGCCCAAAAAATAAAAAGGTAAAGAAAAAGAACAAAAAGGGTTTGCGCTCCTAATTTTCCCGCCTAAATAACCCCACATTTTCACCCTCATAAAACCCATGGATTCCTTCATTCCCAGACTTTTATTTCCGCACCAGAGCACCCAAAAATGGTGTCTGCAACTCCCGGAAGAAACCCTAACCCTACCACTAAAACCTCCAAAAATGGGTACCAAATTGGAGGCGTCCAGGTGGAGTTCCCGTACCACCCGTACGGTGCCCAGCTGGCATTCATGAGCAGGGTCATCTCCACTCTCGATCGAGCTCACAGAGACGGTCATTGCCACGCATTGCTCGAGTCTCCGACCGGAACCGGAAAATCGCTTTCTCTTCTCTGCTCCACTCTCGCTTGGCAACAGGCTTATAAGTCCAAGAATCAGTTCGCCAATCTCTTGCATTCCAAGCCCGATCCCAAGGCCATGACCGATCCGGCGGCTCACGGCGGCGGATTTGTTCCCGAAGAGGAACCTTCAAGTTTGTGCCATCACATTAAACCCTAAATTTATATTTTTTTGTTCTTGATTTTCTATTCACCCGTTAGATTCTGATGTCAATTTCATAGAGTCCACTTAGTTTTTATAGGATACAAATTTAAATACGTATGGTATAGATGGTTAAAACTGCTACTTCCGTTGCATTAATTGTTAAATGTGTAATTTTTATTTATAGGTGTTCAGTTATCGGAGAAGGCAAAGACAAAGCAATCCTTGGCAAACAATAAGGATGAAAAGAAAAAGGCAACACCTACCATATACTACGCATCGTAAGTTGTTTGCTTATTTATTTTTGTTGAACTAGCCTTAGAGTTAGAAATCTGCTTTCTTATCATGAAAACGAGCCCTTGAAATGAAAGATGTTAGAGATATTTCAAAATTTCAGCATATTGCTTGCTAAATGGAATCATCCTTTGATTTGCTTATCATTTTATAAGTCCAAGTCCAACAGTAGAATTGAATAACTATGAGCTTTGAAGTACCATTGAGTGTCAAATTGATTAGACTAACTTAACGATCATATTTTTTTTCATGTCTATTTAGGAGGACACACTCACAAATTTCTCAAGTGATACGTGAGTATCGGAAAACTTCCTACCGGGTGCCTATGGCAGTGCTGGTAAGTTTAATACATTCCTTTTATGTTTATTGTTAATGTTGATCTGATCGCTCCTACAAAGATTTGTCGTTAAGGAACATTGAGATTTCCAATTACTTCAGTGTTCAGACTTTACACTTTATTTAAGTTTTAACTGAAAAATGAAGGTTTGATGGAGACTGTAAAGTGCCGAATGTTGAAGTTTGCACAAGCATCTGTGTTTGTAGAAATCTGGATATGGTCAGATGAAGAGTACCGACATTGCTTAAGATGAATGTTTCGGTTACAATATATCTGTGTATTTAACTATTCACCAAAATGTGGTCCATACAGCAGAAAGAATTATTAAGTTCCTCTGTTACTGTTTTTTTCTTTTTTCTTTCTTTTCTAGAAATTCCTGACTAAGTTTCTACCATCAAAGTTGGTGCAGTCTAAACTTACACTAAGATGCACCACACCTTTCTTGTTTGCATGCTTGTTTTTCACCATTTTTATTTTTTCCAGGCCTCAAGGAAGCATTACTGCACAAATGCACAAGTACATGGGAAAGAGAATATTGACGAAGAATGGTGCACTTTTAACATATATTGTTACTCCTTTTTGTTATCTCCTTTTATGTTTCTGTCTAAAATCTGTTATTTGAATTTTCAGTAAGCTGCTTTTGAAGAACCGAGAGGTTGGATGCTTAGAATTTAAGTGAGTTACTTTTTTATTTTTGTGCTTCCATTATCTTATTTGTGTTTGGTTACACAGCAGATGTACTTCAGAGCATTTAGAACAATTAATTAGGAGCGTAATCGTATGACAATCTCTCTTGCTAACAGAAATGTAAACAAAGTCAAAGGCCATCCATCACTTCAGAAAGGAGGCTGCCATGAGGCCCATGATATTGAAGATCTTGTAAAAGTTGGAAAATCTGTGAAAGGTCTGCTTTGTTGTTATATATCTAGCATGTGCACTGTGTATACTGCTATAGTTACATTTGACTGAGATACTCGTCACTTTTCAGGTTGTTCATATTATGCAGCACGATCTTTGTCAGATGATGCAGAATTGGTTTTTTGCCCATATAACTACATCATTAATCCAGTAATTCGGGGAGCAATGGAAGTAGATATTAAGGGATCCATTGTTGTTCTCGATGAAGCCCAGTATGTTGTACCACTTTGTGTATATATTTGTTTAATTTTCTTTTTTTCACCTTGCTCGGTTTTCTGAGTATAGGCAATATGGGTTGCAGCATTATTGTGATTGATCCTCTCTTTGTTTCAAACATTCTTTCTACTTCAAGTTATATTCTGTTTGACACCCCTTGTATTTCTTTGCAACACTAAGATTCTGCATTTTCCAATTTCCAGTTGTACTTGATCATAAAAATGAGGAATTCCCTGGTTAATATTATGCGTTTTCCTACTACATATCACTGCTATAAATTAGAATATGTTGATTATTAAGTCGAAAGATTCCCCATTAACTTGGTGCTTCATTCTATGGATTCTTTTTGGCTGCAGGATACAAAATAAAAGGAGATATTTCCCTATTTTATTTGCCTAAATTTTAAATTTGGAAATGATTTCAACACACCTTTTTTCACCTCTTACACTCCCCTCTTCTAATTTTAGCCTTGAGATTGAACAATCAAAGGAGAATCAATGGTTGAAATTAAAATGGGGTGTGTAGAATGTGAAATAGGGTGTGTTGAAATCACTTCCCTTTTAAAATTTTCTGAACTTGTTTTAATTAAGACTTTCATGCTTGGGTCTTTGAGACTTTCTCAAGAGGTCTTTTACATTACTTGTTTGCAGCAATATGGAAGACGTTGCTCGTGATGCTGGTAGTGTTGATATTGAAGAAGACATTTTGCACAGTAGGGCACTAAGTTAGTAATATTTTCTTTCAGTGTCACTTTCTAGTTCTTATATAGTTGTCATACCTTCTAAAGAATTGCAGATAGAACTAGAGCAGCTTTGCCCAGTTGACGTTTTGGTATACCAACCTCTATACGAAACAATACAGGTTTGGTTTCATATATACTTCTTGCAATTGTTTCAAGTAACTGTTTTGTGATTCTGTGGTCATTAATGAGTGATACATATCCATAGGGCCTCATAAGTTGGATTGAGCAAAGGAAAAATAAGTTGGAGAAGCGTGAATTTCAGTACTATGTCTCTTGGTAAGAATTTTGGTTGACGTTTTCCTCAATTATCAATTTATCATTGATCTGTTAACTATAATATTTTCAAGTAATTTAAAAAAAAAATGGTTCATGCAATTATGGGGTACCTTTCACTTTGCAATCTTGTAATAAAAAAAATGTAAACAAGTAATTTGATCTTTCACTCTTTCTGTTAATTCTTAAAATTTCTTTAAACAATTACCGATAGGATGAGAAGTGTTTGTGTTTCAGGTTTGGAAATCTAGCATTTTGAATAATTTTAGACTGGTCTTTTAACTTTTCTTTGGGTGGTTTTTATTGTATGTCACAGTTGGACTGGCGATAAGGCTTTGAGAGAGCTCCAAGAAGCTAATGTATCACAGCAGTGCTTCCCAATCTTACTTGAATGTGCTGTGAAGGTAATTTAGCTACAATAGTTTCTCCCATTACACACTATTTTGTTCTGTGTCAGTCAAAGTGTGTTTTCTTTTTCAGGCATTCAAAGCTGCTACAGATACAGAATCAGATATACCACATTTAAGTGGCATGGCTGTTGTGATATTGGAAGGTAAAAACCTTGTAGTTTTTAAGTATAAATGTCTTAAGTTTACCCTCACTAAATATATCGATTGATCTTCTTTGATAATGTCACACAGGATTGTTCTCTTCGCTTACTTACTTTTTCTCAAGAAATGGGTGTCATATGGTTGATTTTCAGCTTGCTTTACAACGATATGTTAAAAGAGATGCTGGTAAGCAATTAATAGCTGTTATCTGGTTATCTTTGAGGATAGTGATATAGAACACGTGGCTAATATTTTTCGTTGGGTCTTCTCTGTCTAGCAGTTTAATTTTCATCCAAATTAATCGTGTAGTTGGTAAAGCAGAGGCATTGTTCAAATTTGTTTTCATGTTACCCTTTAAACATTCTTTCTGTAAAGTATGTCTTTTAGTGGAGGAAGAAAGGCAAGAATGTTGTGGAATTCCACTGTGGTAGCTGTCATTTGGGTAATTTTCTTGGAGAGAAATAGGAGTCTTTGAGAGCTATAGTGGGGATGTAGAAGAAAGCTCTTGGGAAAGAGTCGGTTTTGGGCATCATTATGGGCTTCCTTCTATAGTCTTCAGGGATCTGTCAGTTCTATTATTTTATTAAATTGGGGTGCTTATGTAGCTCATTTGGTGAGTTGAATTACATTACGACGGTACTTTGGTTTTGTCCTTGAAGGTTGTATAATTTTTTGGTGGACCTCTAGTTCACTATGTTTTGTATTGCATTTTTTTGATCTCATTATTTCTCATAAAAATATCTTTATGGGAGCTGCAGTTTGATAAAATACGGATTCTGATATTGTATCAGGAGCTTCTGGCGATTGGACGCATACCTTAAGTTTGTGGTGTTTGAATCCTGCTGTTGTGTTTAAAGATATTGCTGATCTTTCCTTGTCAGTCATTTTAACATCAGGGTTAGTATAGTGCAGGTGAATCTGTACAATTGTATTTTTATAACTATTTGTCCAAATGAATGTTTTTGCCTGTTTTATATTGGTGACTGATGCTTCTCATGGTCTGGTTTCCTGCACTTTTGTTGCATTGCTTGCCTCTAGGTGAGATACTTTTCACAGTAATCATACGCCTGACCAATCTTTTTTTTTTTTTTTAACTTAGGACTCTGTCACCTTTGAATTCCTTTTCATCTGAGCTTGGTCTTCAGTTTGGAACAACTCTGGAAGCTCCACATGTTATTGATGTTGAATCACAAGTATATTAATTTTTTGTCCCTTACTGGTCATCCATTCTTTCTGCTTGCATAGTTCTTGTAAGTATAAGGTTTCAGCTTTTTCCCTGCAGGTTTGGCCCGCTGTTATTTCTACTGGCCCAGGTAACTTACCATTGAATGCAAGTTATAAGACAGCAGATGAATATGCCTTCCAGGTAATTTTACCAAATCTTGAAATGATTTTTAGTTTAATTTCCACTTAGTAAACTAATATTGTAATTTTATGTTACTGTGAAGGATGCACTCGGAAAATCCTTGGAAGAAATTTTCAAGATTGTTCCAGGTGGGTGTCTTGTGTTCTTCCCAAGTTATAAGCTGATGGGAAAACTATGCAAGCGTTGGCATGGAACAGGACAATGGTCTCAGTTAAATGAAAAAAAGAACCTTTTTGTTGGTGAGGCTTTTTTTGTTCGCTTACTCACTACTTATGTTATGCTTCACAAAACATTCCTTTAGAAGTTTCCTGTGAGATTGTGTTTATACTTTATTCGTCTCATGGTATTTCTGCATGAATGCAAGACTTGGAGCTCATTGTTGATTTTTCTTTATTGTTATTTTGTGTTGGATTGTACTACTTAGTTGTTATTGCTTAGCGCAGAGCCAAGAGGAGGAGACCAGGAGGAATTTGATGCTGTTTTGAAGGGTTATTATGATTCAATTTGTAAGGGTAATAAACCAGTTTTTGGGGCAAAGAAAAGTGCCAACAAGATAGCAAAAAAAAGTCACTTCGCTGCGTTCAAGTGTCCACGAAAGAGTAACATTGATGGAGCTGCTTTTCTTGCTGTGTGCCGAGGAAAGGTGCACACAATTGTGGTCCTACATAAAAATAATGATAGGGTGTTTTATTAAGTTTGCACATGCTCAATCATTATGCTTATGCTTGCAGGTTTCAGAAGGAATTGATTTTTCAGATGACAATGCTCGGGCAGTGGTATCCTTTTCTGTTTTTTGGTAGTGTGATTTATATTTTGAGGTGGGGGAGGGAGGGTAGGGGAGAGGGGGAGGTTGGTGTTTGGTCACAATGGGGAGGAGACTGATGAGCTTAGACATCATAATCTTTGGTTAATTGGATTGGCTAATACAGTAATACAATGGTCATATTTTTATGTGATTGTCTATTTATCTTAACTATCTCAGATAATTGTCGGGATTCCGTTTCCCAACATGTAAGAACTTCTCGTTTTAGTATTTTTGTTTTGGAACAGATATGTCTTAGGAGTAACAGTTCGCTGATTGCTCTCAACCTCTTTTCAGAAATGATATTCAAGTTGTCTTAAAGAAGAAGTATAATGATACACATAAGTCATCCAAAAGCCTTTTGAGTGGGAACGAGTGGTATTGCCAGCAAGCCTTTCGAGCTCTAAATCAAGCTGCAGGTAATCCCTACCTTTTCAAAGTGGATTAACTTAACATATATTTGTGTATAAGATGACTCATCACTAAGCGTAGAAATTTTTCCACCAAGCCTCATTTGAAAGTTTTCTGTGCACCATCTGATGATTTATTTTAATCTGTAGTAGGCTAGCCGACATTCACCTCTCCCAGACCCTGCTTAAAGCGGGAGCCTTGTGCACTGGGTACGACCTTTTTTTGTAGTTAGGCTATTCTGTATTAATTGGCTTCTTTATTTGTGTAGGACGTTGCATTCGCCATAGGTTTGATTATGGAGCTGTCATCTTAGGTAACTGTTCTTGAATATATGTTCTTATCTCTTAAAATCACGGATAATTTTCTCAACAGAAGTAATTTTTTGGCAAATTTATTAACTAGAATATTTTGTATTCGGACTTTAAACTCTCAGTGTCACTGTCAGCTCAGTAATGTTTCTATGAAAGCTGTTTTTGAATCTCGCATTGGCTAACTTCAGCCTCATCTTTTGTGCGATTTGCTGTCAAACTTTTCCATGATATCTTTTTAATTCTTTTTTTTTTCTAAGTGCTCACAATGTAAAGGTTTTTCAAAGTTTTAAACACAATTTCTTTGACATCTTTTTGGTTTTTGGGTGAAATTTATTAGTCTTTTGTTGTTTCTATATCTGCCTTTTAACATTGTTTATACAAATTTAATAATTTATTCCAAGCAGATGAACGCTATCACAAGGAAAGAAATACAGCATATGTGTCAAAGTGGCTAAAGAAATCCATCAGACATTATAACAACTTTGATACGTCAATGGAGGAATTAAAATCCTTTTTCAGTGATGTCAAGGTTTGCTGCATGCTCCCGATTTTCTTCTTCAGATACTTTTCTTATCCTTGAACAATATTAAGTATTATAAATTGGTTAACCTTCATGCAGGAAAGAGTAAGCAAGAATATGGTTAATGTTTCACAGAGGTTTGAAGCTAAAGAGGAAATTATTCACTCTATGGGTCAAAATGAAGGAATTACAAAAGTGAAATATCAGAAATTAAAGAAGTTCGATTGTTGCAAACGACCAGAGAATTCTGAAATGAAGCATGATGGCCAACTGGCATCTCAAGGTTGTATGGAAGCTCAGCAATTTGTGCGAATGGATGTGGATGCTGACCATAGCAAGGAAATAATTGATCTAGATTGTTGTCCTCAGAAAAATTTAGGGTAAGTGTCACTGTGTTTTTCTGAATTAAATAATGATTACTCAAGTGAGATAATGGCCTTGTATTAGTTAAGGGCACCAATAAATCTGCTTTCCTGCACAGAGTTTCTAATTCTCATTCGGCATTCTGTTACCAATACCGTCCAAAACCCATTTCTTTTCAGGTACCCAAAGCCATCTTTGTCCATGGCATTCTCTGATGCAGATCCAGACATCTCCATTGTCAAAGAAATCCCTAATATGGATGGAATTGGTTCCGTATACAGTCCAGGATCCTTAAATAAGGATGAGAATTCTGGTTTAACTTCAATCACAATTGAGGCTTCTTCTCATGAAATGTCATTTCAATCAATAGCCTTGACCAATAGTAGCAGAGCTTCTCCAAATGCCCAGTGCAGCCTTGTAGCAACTCCTAAAAAGAATGTGACTTTGAAGATGCACAGCTCGATACTAGAAACAGAATCATCTTTGAATTTGAGTGTTAATTCTCATACCCAAAAGAGGAGAAAGTCAATGTATTCACCACTGGTCAACTTCGTTAATGGACAGTCTGATACTCCTGATTCTGAAACTCCAGATTCTACTAGTTCTGTAAATTACTCAATGGCTAGCAGAGATGCGAATCGCAAAATTGAATTTAGTGTTGAGACTAATGGTTCAGAACACAAATCTAAGTCCAATGTTCCTCATGTTCTCACGACTAATATTTGTGTTGCTTCATCCACGTCAGCTGGTTGTGTAATGGATAAAAGACTACAAATTTCTTGCTCACTCTGCAAAACCCCGTTGGGACTTCCTGAGAATCAGCTACATCTAACATGCTCTTTGTCTTCTTCGTCGAAATGTCATTTAGAATCTCTTGGTACGAATGTATTAAAGTTTCACACAGGAAATACATCCTCATCAGGAATACCTGTTATTATAACTGACAGTGCATCAGTTGATCAGAGGCTCTTGAATTCTGAAGGTGCTACTGGACAGGGCATATGGTGTGAAGAGGATGGATGTGTTTTCAGTACCATCTTCTGCCCCTTCTGCAGTAGCCACAACAATTGCCTTGGTGTACGTGTCATGGCAGCTAACAGGTCAAATGTTCATTTACTCAACAAGGTAGGTTTCTATTTAACTTCTATAGGTTACTGGATTACATTTTGATACAGAATTTAGAAATTTCTCTCTCAGAAATTTGCGTAATTGGATTGCTGCTATTAGTTAGTTTTGGAATGTTTTCGTAGTCTGCTATTAGTTACTTTTGGAATGTTTTCGCCGTTTCCAAGTGTCAGGGTGATCTTGCTATTTATCCTGTTTTGTTTGTGCTTTTGCAGACTTCATGTCCGCTCTTGTATTTTTATCGTTTTTTTTTAAAATAAAAAAACTGGATTGAATGTTGCTACACTAAATTTATTTCCCATTTTGCCTGATTCTTGCAATTTCTGAGAAGTTAATGCAATTTCTTACGTCTTTGCGGATACTGTTTGTAGCTGGTATTCTATGGTGCTTTCTTTTCTCACCTGACTCGTTGTTTTATGGTTTCCTAATTGATGCAGATACTGTTTTACTTAGATCAGTTGCATATTCAAAATCTTAAAGCATCTAGTGATAGCGCTCCAGAAGACAAGGTAAGTTTGTAATATTTGGTCTTACAATTGTATTTGGAATGCTAAAAAGAAACTTAGGACTTGTGTCATCGTAGAATCAGGGATTCACAGTTAAGTTATAACAGTATGCGGAAGTGGCCGATATTTTATTTATTGAAATTTGAAACTCCATAGTAAAGTTCTTTTGGCAATTTTACTGAAAATCTGATTGAACATGGATTTGCTAGTCTCCCTTAACCATCTTGCAGAGCATTTTTTTGTTTTGTGAAGATTTACTGCATAAATGTCCAAGACCGTCTAAATAACGGTCCTAGTCTGTTTGTATGTAGGATCTCTTGCCTGCAGTTGATTCAAGTAGGGATAAAGCCTCCATTCTAAATTCCTTTGATAGATTCTCATACTCGCCGCAAGAGCAGAACATGGGAGGCTGGAGGACTACAAAATCAAAGGTTAGGAAATAAGGAACATTGTAATCTGATTATAGCGAATCCTTCCAGGGCGGATGTGATAATTAATTTTTGTAACGGTGCAGCTTAAACTACCCAAAAGACGCCTACTTCCTGAAGCAGAGGACTAACTGCGGGAATTGTCTTTGTATCTGAAATTATTGCACATATCACCTCGGTCGATGCTGTGATGCTGATGTAGATCTCCCTCCTTGCTAGGGATGGCAATGGTTATGCGGGCGGGTAACCACGGTTAATTTACCCATAACCGTTTATGTTCATACCCGCATAACCGTTTACCCGTTGGGTAATTACATAAATGGTTATACCCATAATCATAACCGTTTATAAACGGTTATCCAGACTCATAACCGTGTATCCATTTACCCATAACCATTTACCCATTTAACCGTAACTATAACTATTTACCCGTTTACCCATTTTTTTTGCCCGTTTATCCTTTTTTTACCCATTTACCTTTTTTTTTCGCCCGTCTACATTATTTTTTTAACAATTTGAAAATTACAAAAGAAAAATTTGTCATAATTTTTATTTTCTGACAATTAAACATCGTTATAAGTACATTTTAGCATACATTTCCCTATTTTAATCATTTAAGTCCTCGTATAATTCTAATAATTGAAATAATAGTTTACGAACGATATTTTTCTGTATAGCAACCAATCAATTTTTTTTATTCTGTATAGCAACCAATAAATTATGGAAGTTCAGGAACCTGAGAAAATTGAGCCTAAAGGAAGAGTGAAAGTAGAGCTTTTTTATTTCTAAATTCCCGAATGATTTTTAAAGCAACAGACCCTTTAGCAACAGCTCATAAATCTATGTTTCTGATAACAAAAAACAACCATATGAAACCAACCAAATTTCATCTAATTCATCACAAAACTGAGTTAACCCTCTATTATTTCATATAATTTCATCTAATTGAAATTTGTGTTTCGAACACGTTCAATCACAAAGTATCATCGACTCGTTGTCACCAAAAGAGGCCTACAAAAGAAATGTATAATTGAATTAGTATGCATAAATTGAATGAGTATCACCAATAACTCCAAAGTAAAAAATAAAAATAAAGATTAGTTTTTACCACATTCACATCAATATCATCACCGAATGAAGAATCTTCAACACGAGTAGAGTTTGAATTTGGTTCAATAGTAAAAATTAAAATTAGGCTAAAATAGTAAAATTTTGAACATATACATAATTGATATGAAATTTTACAGTAAGTACCTTGCATCTGACCCCACAACCAGTCTCGAGAACACATGAGTGCTTCCACTGTGCTTGAATGAAGTCGGCTACGATGTGGACTAATAATCCTACCACCAGTACTAAATGAAGACTCTGAAGCTACTGTAGATACAGGAATAGCCAAAATATCTCGAGCTATCTGATGCAAAATAGGATATTTAATCCCATTTGTCTTCCACCACGACAATATATCAAAATCTTGAGTCCTAGGCAAGACTTTCTCCCCCAAATATAGGTCTAAGTCAGATTGTTCATTACCGATGGTAGAATCCATAACAAACTAGTCATAAGATGTTAAAGGATCACCAACTCTGAAATCAAATGACTGTGATGAAAAATCAGTCGAAGAAGAAGATTCAAAAGACCAATGCCCAGGTCTATGCTTCAATTCATACTCTTTGACCAACTTAACAGCCAAGTCAAAGACTTTCTCAATCTCTGATGGAGCATTACCTTCATCAAAACTATATGCACCATGTTTAACAGACCCATCACCGGTTATAACTGGACTCTTTTTCTTTGTCTTCAATACAGGACATGTTCTAACATGTGAAAGTAAAGATGAAGTACCAACAGTGGAGCTCGATGCTAGCCTAGCTTTACAATGGTTACAGATAACTTTCACCTCCCCACAAAAACATTTTTCCTCAAAATGCTGCCAGACAACTGAGGTTCTTTTTCTCTTCCTACTAGTGTCATCAAAGCTTGATTCACTTAGGTCCAATTCTTGATCAAGATTAATTGGTTCAATAGCTTGGTTCTCGCTTTGAGTCTCCATCTTGGAACTAGTTGAAACAGTTAGATACAAGACTTTTTGAAGATCTAAAGATCTTCAAATAATTCATACAAAAAGAGTTCCTGCTGAAACAAATACAGATAATCAATTCACAAATTACATTGCAGGTGGAAATAGTGTACATATAATGAACGAGATGCAAATATCAAAATGCTTATATGTCATGTAAGAGAATGAGGACGGATGCATACAAACATCACCACCACGGAACAACGAAGAAATGTTTAAGCGGGAAAAAAAATGAAGATATAGAGTTCAGAATATAAAAGAAAAACAGGAAAGCAATTGAACAAAAGAACACTATACTGTCATAAAACCCAAGGTCAATATACTATTTGGGTTATACTTTGTGATAGATGCAAGTTGCAACAGATTTAAAGGCTCATACAAAAAGGTGCTGTATGAGATGTGTATCTGTGAAGTGTGAGTGAAGAGAGAGAGAGAGAATAAGCAGAGAATAATAAACAGAAAAGTTCGTTATTCTAACCCTTTTCTGTGTTGAATGGGTCCATTTGAACCCTTTTTCTCTGCTTTAGTTTGTGTTTTGCAGCTAATAGGGGACCTAGAGCTACCCCAAGTTTCTAAAAGACATAGAGCCTAGAGCTACCCCATTACATACAATCGGGACTGAGGAAGTTGGAACCCCCTACTTATTAGTTTGCTTGTTCCCCTCTACCGGAAAAATCTTGGATCTGATTGCTGGACCACGTAACCTGTCCAACCCTCCCCACAACAGAGTCGGGTCCCCCTGTATTTGGTCCCACCCAACCACACGCTGGTCCTACAGTTTGAGTCAGCTACCCTATATGGTAGCTGCACACAAACTCCTCCATCCCCACCTATGATGAATACTTGGCTCCAGAGTACAAGCTAACCCCTGACTTCTTAACTGAATTAAACTAATCTCACATTATATAAACTGCCTCACCCACATTCTTCACCCAAACAACAGAAACCAAATGATATCAATGATAATAGTATTAATAAACAGAAAGGTGTCAGGCTAAAACTTTGGCTACGGTTGAGAGTTTTCTTGCTTAGTAAGGATCTCGACATATGGTTGTCTGTAATAAAGTAATAATTAATAATAAAAATAAAGTTCATATGCTACATTTCATTCAAACAAAACAATACCAAATAGTCCTAGGCAAAATTTAAAAGCCTGTAGAGTAATAAGAGTTGAATAAAGATATGTGAGCACATAATTACTCTACTAAATTCAGTAATACATAACAAAGATACAAACTGGAGAACCAAACACACAAGTACATTTCCAAAATCTCAAACCCTAAATTAATTCCAAAATTTACTTGATGTCCTGGATTCTAAGGTGAGGAGGTTGTCTGAGGTGAGGTCGAGGAGGGTCGTGAGGTTGTCTGAGCGAGGTCGCCAAGGTGTGGTCGAGTCGAAGTCGAGAGGCGCATAGAGAGAGCGACGGAGAGAGAGGTGCAGAGAGAGAGAGCGACGGAGAGAGAGGCGCAAAGAGAGAGCGACGGAGAGAGAGAGCGACGGAGAGAGAGAGAGTGACGGACGGAGAGAGAGAGCGACGGAGAGAGAGAGTGACGAAGTCGAGAGGGAGAAAGAGAGTGACGGAGTTGTAACTCTAAGGGTTTTTAATTTTTTTTTTAATTTTACATATATTAAATTAAATGGGTAAATGGATACCCGTTATAACCATGAATATTACCCATAACCGATGGATACCCGTTATAACCGCGGATAATATCCATAACCGCCCATATAAATTTCATGGATAAATGGTTATACCCATAACCGTTTATTTGTTTAAACGGTTACCCATAACCATAACCATCAACTTTAAATGGGCGGGTAACCGCGGTTACCCATACCCATGGGTATTTTGCCCATCCCTACTCCTTACATTATATAAATTACCGAGGCAATACAGGTTCTTGTAAATCAACTGCATTTTTCTTAAGCTATTGTGTAGTGCATTAACAATTTGAGTTTGTTGCTGCCACCAGGACAATGGGGCCGATAACTCCACCCATTGTAATATGACTAAAGGTAGCAGCAGGCAGAGCAGTTGATGATTTTGTTGCTGCTTGATTTTCATTAGTTCCGTCGAAAACTTGTCTTGCATTTACATGGATATGATCCACCAAGTCGATTTGGTTCTACCTACAGCAATGGCGAGAGAGCGAAAGGGCGTGAGCAGTGGAGTAACTCAAATGTACCGTGCATCTACTCTCTCTTCAGCATCTAATGTTAAGACTATATCGTAAATTACTATGCCAATTTATAGACTGGTAAACAGAAGAATTCATTGGTAATGAAATGTGGAGTTTGTAGACAATGTCGCAAACAACTAGAAGCAACGAAAAAACTACAAGAATTCAAGATACCCAAAAATACAAATACAAGCTCTTCAGATCGGTCCCTAGTTTCTTCTAGTCCACGTATCAGATCAGAGATAACTAGTATAACAAACCTATCAAAGTCATCCACCATAGGTAAGTTCACCTTCCTGCAAAGGCAAGCATCAAAAAGATCAACGAGATGCCCAAGAGTGGCAAATTCATGACTCGTAGTTTGAGAGTTAAAGAACAATTTAGGAGAATCTGCTCCATTGGTTTTGGGTTCTGTATTCGTTTGGTTTAGGGTTTGTAATTTGTGGGATTTGAGTTGTGAGAATTTAAACTCTCTTTTGTAATCTCCGTTTGTTTAGTGAAATTTCTCATCATGCCTCTGTAAACACGAATATTCCTGCAATGAATGAGACAAGAACACATGTACAAAATAATATTTGTATTAATGATTTAGGGGTTACAATCTCTTCGACAAATTTAGCCTTTGATTCGATCTTCGTAATGCGTAGATTTGTGGATTGTGCTGTTGATCCAAGGGTCGTTGGGGCTTGATCTTGAAGGGTGACGAATGGATCTTTAAGGGGCTTTTGGGCTTGATTTTGAAGAACGGTTGTGCGGATTTCTTCAACGGCTTTTGGGCTTAATTTTGAAGGTTGATGGGTGAACGGATCTTCAAGGGCTTTTAGACTTGATCTTGAAGAACGGTTGGATGTGTGGATTTGTTGATGTTGTTGATTCAAAGGGCCGTTGGGGCTTGATCTTAGGATGAACGGACGATGAACGATGAACACTTTCTTCAAGGGCTGTCGGGGCTTGATCTTGAATTGGTGGAGGTTCTTCAAGGGCCGTTGGGGCTTGATCTTGAAGGAGGATTTGACGAAGAACGAAGAGAGCTTTCTTGATCCTTCGGGATTGGCTTGGGAGCTTTAGAGTTTCAAAGCTTCAAGGTTTTGGTGTGATGTGAATTGGTTATGAATTGTTGTCCTAAAATGAATGAAATGGCCTTGTATTTATAGAAGTTTTTCAAGGCCTAATTTTGAATATAATATTAAGATGAAATAAATAATTTATGCCAGGTGTTGACACGTGTCTTTATTTGATGACTTTTCCGATTTATTTTGATTTTTCGTTTAGTCACACGCTACATGTAAAAATTTATGTGACACGTGAGCGTTGAAATTGTAATTATTGGTCAACATTTATTTCACCGAAATTTCGATGTCTACAAATGCCCCCACTTCAAGGCGCGTCGTATACATGTGCTTGTCACGTGTAGGAGATGCGTTTTGAAGTCCTTTAATGTAGATGTTGATCCAAGGGCCATCGAGACTTGATCTTGAATTGGGCTGGAAATTTCTTCAAGGGTCGTTGAGGCTTGATCTTGAATTGGGCTGGAAGTTTCTTCAAGGGCCGTTGAGGCTTGTTCTTGAACTTTGTTTGAAATTTCTTCAAGGGCCGTTGAGGCTTGATCTTGAATTAAATTGGACCACAATGAGCTTCACGTGGTAGGTGATCTTTGGCTTTGGTAATGGATGAATCGACATGTATTTTGTTGCGCTTGTTGACTTTCCACAGCTTTGATCTTGTCTTGAACTGGGTTGGAGGATTTTATGGTTTCCTCCAATTGTTGACTTTCCACAAGCTTATTCTTGAACTAGGCTAGGGGTTTCTTCTGCTAGACTTGCATCAAAATGTCTAGATTTACTCTTTTTATCTGGAGTTGAATTTGGTTCAAGGATGGTCGATACTTGATCTTGAATCGGACATGATTTCTTCAAGTTGGTGACTTGATCTTTAAGGATTTGATTCAAGGGTGGTGAATCGGCACGTGCAGCTCACAACGCCTAGCGAGTCGACTCAAGAATTTGAGGGTCGAAACAAGTCCGCCAAATCTAGAGTACTTGCAACCCTGATGATATAAGATATTTTTGCTTTTGAAGAAGTAGTAGATGAATCGACATGTGTTTTTCTGTGCTTGTCTCCACATGCTTTAATGTATCATTTTCACTTGCCATATCTGTTTTTCAGGTAGAGGTGGTATCTTCTGCTGCCTTGTCTATTTCCTTGGCAGAGCGATGCTAGGTAAGCAATCAGGGAAGGGTTCCAGGCAGTCGATTCCTGATTGGGAGTTTGACTTCAAGTTCCGACTGATTGATCTTTTTCTTATTGTCCTACAGGTAAGAACAAGGACAAAGAAAAGGACAGGGAGAAAGCATGATATGAGATACTCTTGCTTTCGAAGAAGTGGTGGCGATTTGATAGCGTTACACAGCGAGGCTTTGCTCTTCGGCGATGGTGCCAGCGAAAGGCTATTAAAGCTTCTTTGATTAGGGCAATGATGCTGAGCTTGGATTTGATTTAGACTCCTTCATTTGGGTTATGTGATTTTGCAGGGAAGGTCGTCTTGCTATAGTGATGCGTTCTGGCTCATCATTGATCCTTCTGCTTCGATCTCTTGCAGTATTTGCCCCCGATGCAGGAGTGGAATGCAACCTTTGCATTTAAATGATCCTTCAGAGCATTACTTCTAAGTGATGATGAATACTCGAGAGCAATGCAAGGTAAGCAACTAGGCAAAGGTTTCGGGCAATCAGTTCCAGATCCGAAGTTTGATTTTAGGTTCTGACCGATTGCCTTCTTTCTCCTTGTCTTGCAGGTAAGAGCAAGGGTAAAGGAAAAGACAGGGAAAAAGCATGATATGAGATACTCTTGCTTTCTACCCTGATGATATGAGATACTTTTGCTTTGGTGTCATTTATTTGTAGAGGTATTCCTGGAGAGGAAGAAAATTGAGTATTTCGAGAGGCTCTGCTGGGAGTGTACTCTCAGTGGTGAGGAAGAGTTGGGCATTTTTGTAGGTTTGCTTTGCTATGGAGGATGAAGGTCTACATATATAGGAATTTCCTGATAGCCAGTAGTGGTACTATTCTTTTACTCTTGTCGACAACCGTTGGGTAAGTGAAATAGTAAGATTCAAGCGTTTTCGACTTTTTCAAAAATCTTTGACAAAGTTGCCCGTGTTTTCTGCAAAGCTGAGGTTACGTGTGGAAGGTGTTGACAAATCCTGAAAAGCCGGTCTTTTTGAAATTAGGAAAGCGGTGCCCCTTCGATCTCTGAACGGCCATGTTGCCTCATTTTTTATAGAGGCATTAATCGTGTTCGAAAACACACTTAGAGAGTTGCCGCATGTAGGAGTTTCCTTTTTTTTTTTTTTGTATTTCTGAGAATTCGATTTACCCGACCTCTTCTTCCTTCATCATTTTTTTGCAAATGGCTTGCCCATCTGATCGTCGTCTTGATTTGAATGTTGGGGAAGATGTTGATATGTCTTCTCCAGACAACGTATGTCACTCATCCTTCTTATCCGCCACCGGTTCTCTTACAGTTGGGGACTCTGTGATGAAGAATGACATATTCGCTACGGTGGTAGCTAGAAATCTTCTCACCCCCAAGGACAACAGGATCCTTTCTAGTCATTCTGATGAGCTAGCTATTCAGGATTCTCTAGCTTTCAGTGTTCAGTGTGCGGGCTCCGTATCAAATATGGGCCAACGCCTTCTTGCTCGAACTCGTCAAGTTGAGTCACTGAGGGCTGAGGTGGCGAGTCTTAAGCAAGAGATTAGAGGGCTTAAGCATGAAAACAGAGAGTTGCACATGCTTGCCAATAGTTACTCGACGAGCATGAAGAGAAAGCTTGACCAGCTTCAGGAATCCGAAAGTCGGATTCAGAGTGACCATCAGATGTTTGTGAAGGCTCCTTTTTTTTTTATTTTTTTTATTTTTTACAGAGTGTTGAGGCTCCAAACAATCAACCTCCGGCGCCTCTTCTTCCTGGAGTTTCGCCGAGTGATGAGGCGCCACCTGATCAACCTTTGTGAAGGCTCCTTTTTTTTGACTCATGTAAAATGTACAATTATGTAAATTTTTAGAGCAATCAATAAATGAGTTTCATTTCATTCAATGTATTTCTTTCTTTTTATTTATTTATTTTTATTATTATTATTATTTATTTACTTTATTATATTTTTTGTTTTATATGACACGATCTTTCAAAGCAATGATGGCCATCATTACCTTTTTTTTATTATTATTTTACCTTTTTTTTTTTTTTGATGTGTGAATCTGTTTCCTCATATTGTGATATTGTGATCATCTAATTGCTTTATTCAAGCAATGTTGATCCCATAAATTGGCCATAAACCAAATAGTACGGCCATAACTTCCTTGCGGCCATAGCTTGCTTTATTCCCACAGACGGCGCCAAATGTTAATGCACAAAACCGGAGGGTCTTGGAACAACGTAAATCCGACTGTGAATCTGCAAGAAAGTAAAGAACACAAGATGTATCGTGGTTCACCCCAATGTTTGGGCTACGTCCACACTGATATTGTATTTCTCTGTTTGTGAGAGGATGAGAGGGTGAGAACCTTTGAGGGTGAGAGTGAGGCTTCCCATGGCCTAAGAATTGGCCTCCCTTAATGAAGAGAGTGAGGAGTCCTTTTATAGACACACTGCATCTTGCTGTTTATCTCCATGCTCTTGCTTTCGATGCTAAGACTCTTTTTTTTTTGTTATTCGTCCAATTGCACTCAACAAATTACAAAACAATTAAAATAACTTTTGCTTTCTCAAAAGGGAAGAAAAGGCATCATCATTGCATTGTATCTTGCTGTCTGTCTCCATGCTCTTACTTTTGGTGCTAAGACTCCTCATTTTTTTTGTTATCTGTCCAATTGCACTTAGCAAACAATTAAAATAACCTTTGCTTTCTCAAAAGTGAAGAAAAGGCATCATCATTGCATTGTATCTTGCTGTTTGTCTCCATGCTCTTGCTTTTGGTGCTAAGACTCCTCCTTTTTTTTGTTATTCGTCCAATTGCACTTAGCAAATTACAAAACAATTAAATAACTTTTGCTTTCCCAAAAGGGAAGAATAGGCATCATCATTGCGTTGCATCTATCTGTCCAATTGCACTTAGCAAATTACAAAAATAATTAAAATAACTTTTGCTTTCCCAAAAGGGAAGAAAAGGCATCATCATTGCATTGCATCTGTTCTGCAATGTCGATCAAGTTTCTTGAATCCAGTTGTATATAAATAGACCCTCTTGTAAGGTTTTAGATAGGTATTTGATCCCCATCCAATTTCCTTTAAGTTGCTGAGTGCTTGGGCTGTGCCACGACTACCATTGATCACCTTTCGCTGCGCTTTATTTATTACGCTTGTTGCCACAGGTTCAGGTCCTGCTGTGATTTTTTTTTTGTTTCATGCTGGGCATCGAAAGGATGTCGTGTGTGTGTATATATATATATATATATATATATATATATAAACACACACACACACATGGTTCATTGTGCTTTTGCTTTTGACTAGCATG